GAGTGACTTATTACACCTTTTGATTTGGCCAATGCTCTGAGCACATTTCAAAAATATATCAACTAAGTATTATATGGATATCTGGACAACTTCTGCTCAGTCTATTTAGATAACATCTTGATATTTTTCTCAAGAAGCTTACAGAAGCATTATGAGCATGTACAAAATATACTTATATGTCTATGAGAAGCAGGCCTGCAGGCAGATATCAGAAAAAGTGAGTTTGAGATGAACAGTACAAAATATATTAAATTTATTATTGAAGCAGATAAGGGTATATAAATGAATTCAGAGAAGATTAAAGCTATTTTAAAATAAGCAATACCTACTACTCTTAAAGATGTATAAGAATTTTTAGACTTTGTCAATTTCTATAAATGATTTATCAGAGATTTCTCAAAGATTGTAATCTTACTGACAATTCTTACATGCAAGAATGTTTCTTTTTTGTGAATGAGCAAGGCTGAGGAAGCTTTTAAGTGTCTAAAATCAATGTTTATCTCTGCTTCAATTCTGCTTCAATTTGACTCTAACTGTGAGACTATATTGAAAATGAACTTCTCAGATTATGTCTCAGAAGAAGTGCTGCTACAATATGATGAGCAGAGTATTTTACACTCATGTGTCTTCTTCTCTCACAAGCATTCACCTGCAGAATGCAACTATGAGATTCATGATAAGAAGTTATTAGCAATAATTAAGTGTTTAAAGAAATGAGATACTGAGCTATGAAGTGTAAAGAAATTCAAAATTCTCACAGATCATAAAAATCTAGAATACTTCATGACTACACACAGACTAAATGAAAGACAGCTACATTGAATGAATATTCTCTATCAATTCAACTTCAGAATTAATTACTGGTCAGAGAAGTTGAATACTGAATCAGATGCTCTATCACAAAGAGAGCAGAACATGTCACAGAGTGCTGATGATGAGAAAATCAAGCAGAGACAAGCTTAACTACTTAAGTTTAATGTACTAGCATCTGAAATGAAATCAATAGTGATCACTGTCAGTGTGAAATCTGAGATGTCTCTTCAAGCTCAGTGAAATGAGACTCACAAAAATGACAAGATTCTGCAGTGTCTAAAGCAAACTCTTCATGAGAAAAGATTTAGATTTTCTTCTAAATTTGATATTAAGATCTTCATTTCTGAGTGCTCTTTAAATGAGAATGAGGAGCTTCTCTTTCAAGATTGTAAGTGAGTGTCAGACTTTGAATCTCATCAAATCAGATTAGTGCACAAGACTCATGACTCACCTCTTATCAGCCATCTCAGGTGAGAGCAAATGGCAGAAGTTCTAATACATGAGTTCTACTGATCAGACTATATCACTGATGTGAGAAGAATAATCAGAAACTGTCATCTTTGCAGATCAAACATCACATGAAGAGATCAACATCAGAGACTGCTTAAGTCTTTTCTCATTTCTGAACACATGTGGCAGGAGCTTTCTATGAACTTTATTATGAACTTACTGAGCTCTAAAGAATACATGAACATCATGATTATAACAGACAGACTGATCAAGAGAGTTATATTAAAAGCAGTTAAGAAAACTGATGTGAAGATAGTGACTAGAGTGTTTCTTTACAATATCATTTCTTGACATGACATTTCTAAGACAGTAGTGTTAAATTGAGAGTCAGCTTTCACAAGCATGTTTTGAACTTGAGTGTGTGAGAAATTAGACATTAAAAGACAACTCTTCATAGTCTATCACTCAGAGACTGATGAAGCTACAGAGTGAATGAATCAGACTTTGAAAATCTATCTACACAAGTATATTAGCTTTCAACAGAATGACTGATGTGAATGACTTTCTTTAGCAGAGCTGATCATTAATAATAGAGATGCTGTCTTAATAGACATGAGCTTATTCTTTTTAACATATCTTTTTCACATCTTCTTCATTGATATAGCTGATGCACCATCTGTTGAAATATTATATAATCTCATTGAGTTTATGAATGATTATATGAGGAAGACTCATGAAGTGTTAAAGTGAGCTCAAGTAAAAATGACAGATGCTCAGCAATCTCAAGAGAACTATACAAATAGACAAAGAGACTCAGCTTCAAACTTTCAACCTGGAGATAAGATCTGATTGAGCTTAGAGAACATGAAAACTAATCATCTGTACAAGATGCTGAATATGAAATACAATCAATATACTGTGTTAGAAAAGATAGAATCTCATGCTTACTGACTGAATGTCTTACTCAGCATTCACAATGTCTTTAATGTAAAGCTTCTATATGCTGCAGTGATGGATTCCCTGTCTAGTCAGAGACAAACTGACTGACAGTCACTCACTATAGAGACTGTGAAAGAACCTGAGTTTGAGATTGAGAAAATTTAGAGTGAATGAATCTATCAGAGGAAAAAGCAATATCTTATTAAATAAGTAGATTGAGCTGAGTCTCTATGAAATGACACAAGTCTTTTACAAGAAATAAAGACTTTAGATACTTGGAAGACCTCTCAGCAGGCAAAATTAAATGTAAAAAGAACTTTAAATAGTTGTAAAGACCTGTAACAAAGAGGGAGAAGAGAGGTATTATAAGAAGCTGAATCTTTAGATTCACTCTGACTGACTGACTTAGCCTAGTCATCATTTGCACATGTGCACATGATCATGCTATGTGAGCTTGCTTAAACTCATATTCTCATCTCATTCTTTTCTTCCCTTTTTCAAACAATTCATTCTTGTTATATAGGAGGACTAGTACTTAGTTCTTAGAGCTTAATCCTCTACAAAAATCTCTATATTACTAATTCTTTATTTTATAAAAAATTAGAGATAAAATCTATTGTTATTTAGTCATATATATAAATACTCTGAATCTCTGAAATTTCTTCAAGAGATTCAATAATTAGCTACTATTCAATTCTATATATATATTTTTATTTATCATTATTTTATTTCCTCTATAGCACTTATTATGTCTATACATTTATTCTTTTACAATTCTAGTTATAGAGCTTTTCACGCTTCCTTTTGATACTCAGTTTATTTATTTTAAGTATTCTCATAAATGTTTTTAAATCATTAAGAATTTAAAAGATTTACAGTTTAAAAATAATAATTTTCATATTTATCTTATAACTTTTCAAAATATAAAGATAAAACTTATATCTTTAGATGAAAATTGAACTAAGAGTATTTATTATAACTTATTCATACTAGAACTAAGAAACTAATAATAGAAATTTTGTTAAAATAAAGCTAAATAATTTCTATATTATTAAATAAAGCTTTATTCAGAATCTGAATCTTAATGAATTGATGAATCAGTTAACTACTCATCTCACTATCACTATAACTCATCTTAACTCATTTGCTATGAATATTATCATTGAATAATTTGATGAATATCAATATCATTACTATGAGAATACAGAGTATATTATCAAATACTGCTGATTCAAGAACTTATATTTCACAAGTACTGAATGATAGAAATATAATAAGAAATATATAGAGATATTGAAAAATTGAAATAAAAATATAACTAAAAATAGAAATAAGAGCAAAGATAGAAATACAGAAATCTACTTGCAAGTTAGTCAACTCAAATATCCTTTGCAACAATTTCTTCAAATATTGAAGAACTTTTGAAAAGCCAGCCAGATTATGGGTGAAATAAGAAAAGAATTTGATGGATACAGCAAGTGGAAGACAAGATAGATTGACAGAGAAGATGGATATGATTGATTTGAGCAGGACAGTAGCTAGTCTGTACAGTAGCTAGTCTGAGGAGAGGTGTTGGAGCCTAGGCTTCCTATTATGGACCAGCGCACCGCACAGTAGTATATAGCATCCCTGAGATAGGCTACAACCACTTCAGACGTCCCACACAGTTAACTAGAATTGCACGTGATCAACGTCAATCGGCTTAGCTCAGCACGCTAGTCCGTATCCGGCCTCCCCCCCCACAGTTTAGCCGTTTGCGGCTCTTGCACCTTCCAACCTCATCTCAACCTCCTCCCCATTTCAACGCCTTTTTCTCTGCGAAGTTCAGCAGATTCGTAACCTCATTTCATCTTCCTCCATCAACACCACTGCAGACAGCATCACGTCTTGCACTAAGTCGGTCATCGCAATCATCGCTTTATTCCCCCCGTTCTTCTATTCCCCATCCCTCTCTCTCTGTGTCTCTTCTTTTCTCGTCTCTCCTTATCTCATCTCACTCCATTCCCTTGTTTTACTGCAAAACACACGCTTCTTTATTGTCGGTCATTCCAAGAATACCCCCTCCCACTTCAGTATATCTTCTTCCCCCCAGTCTCAAGTGCTAATAAAGTCTATAGGTTTCTCGCAGGATCAGGTCGGGGAAAAGTAAACGAGGAAACAGATCTTTTCAAGAAAAGGAGAAGAAGCAAAAGAGGGACTAGTCCAGCGAATCTGCGTTTATCCTTCTTTTTGATCCTATAACTTTATCAATCAAAGCTTCCAAAATCCTTCTTTGGCTAGAGGTCCTCCGTCATTTTTCACCACCACTATTCACCACATCACAACCCCTCCGTCTCCTGTGTTGTCGATAAAGTTACTGTCCCAACATCTCCCAAGTTTCTCCAGGAGCCTGCTGCTCCATCCTGCTGAAAATTCAACATTCTCACCTCTAAACCAACACCTGCCTCCCTTTCCACACGTCGAACTCCACTCTGATTACTCCGCATCGTTTCCAGCACCCACTGCTACTACTGCTACCACTACCACACTTCCTCCTTTGACTCCAACTCCTCAGCCTACATATCTCCAAGCACCAACTCTCCTCTCCAGTCGACCACCTGCACCAGCAAGTTTTCCTTGGGAAATCCCTGGTGTACATAGCCGATTGAAAAAAAAAACAATTTATAAAAAAGATATTCAGATCCTATTTCGACCCTCATTTTTCACGTAAGTAAAGCAACAGAAAAGAAAAGAAACGTCCAGGTTCAGAACCAGATATCCCAACCGAGAACCGTGTGTTTTCTCCAGTCGAAAGAAAAATGTCTGCCTCTCCAACCTCCGCCGTCGCGTCGACAAAACGCCCCCTCGAGGACCCCTCTTCACCATCGGGACCTACCGATCAACCAGATGCCAAACGCCCAGCTCTGGACAAAGTAGTAAAAGGGGATGACGAAGAATCTAAGCTGCCACAAGAAGTTGAAAGCACTGCAACAGAAGCAACCAAGGCTGAGGCTGCACCGCAGCCCGCTGGCGCTGCCACCGCCGGAGAAAATGGTGTGAAGGATGAACAAGGTGATTTAGTTGTTCCTGATGCCCCTAACGCCAACGGCAAGGGCACTGCTGCTCAAATACTGGAGACTCAGCCGATTCAATCCACAGCTTCTCAGAATGATAGAGCTTCTTCGCAACCCCCGTCCCAGCATACTACGCAAGATGAGAGTGGATGGATCCATATTCGTGCTGTAATCTCTAGTGCTGAAGCAGCAACTTGTATTGGTAAAGGAGGTGAAAATGTTTCTCAGATTCGTCGCCTATCTGGTGCCAAGTGCACCGTTAGTGACTATTCCCGTGGTGCCGTCGAAAGAATTTTGACTGTCAGTGGCATGCAAGATGCAGTTGCCAAGGTATGTTGTAATGATCACGTGGTTTTGATGATTCCTTTTTCTTTCTTACTCTCACATGTCACTGACGATGCATTTCACCCAAAAAGGCTTTTGGTTTGATCATCCGTACACTGAACAATGAACCCCTAGAGGCACCATCCACAGCTCAATCAAAAACCTACCCCCTCCGTCTCCTCATCCCCCACCTCCTCATTGGATCCATCATCGGCAAGTCTGGAGTTCGCATTCGCGAGATCCAAGAGGCTTCTGGTGCCCGTCTTAATGCTTCCGATTCATGTCTTCCCCTCTCCACTGAACGGACCCTTATTATCCTAGGTGTTGCTGACGCAGTTCACATCGCAACCTATTACGTTGCTGTTACTTTGGTAGAACAACTGACTGAAAGGTTTGGCGGGCCTGCAGCTTCCGCTTACGCAACTCGTAGCGGTGGACCTGCCGGTGTCGTCCCAGGAGGTATGCAGGTAGTTCCGTACATACCCCAACCCGCTGGTGGACAGTATGGCCACCCAGATACCTTCAAGAGACATCAACCCCAGGGAACCCGCGCCGTATCTACCGGTGGATATGGCGTGCCGTACGTCCACGGCCAACCCGGCCAACCCCAAATGCCCCAGCAAGCACTCCACTACGGTGCATCCTCCCGTCCCGGCTACACAGGAGCTGGCCCCCACCAGCCATCGCCATACGGCGCACCTCAACCGGGCCAAGTCCATGGTGCACCTAGCTCTCAGCCAGTTGGAGGTGTGGTTCCAGGAGCACCGGTGACACAGCAGATTTTCATCCCCAATGATATGGTGGGTGCGATCATTGGTAAGGGAGGGGCTAAGATCAATGAGATACGCCATCTTAGCGGGAGTGTGATCAAGATCAATGAGCCTCAGGATAACAGCAATGAACGTCTCGTCACCATTACAGGAACACCCGAGTGTAACCAGATGGCTCTGTATATGCTTTATTCAAGACTAGGTATGATATTTTGCAGCTTAACTGAAGTTTAAACCTTTGCTCTCGATATGTTGGTTCTTTTGCTAACCACTTTTCTTTTTGCCAGAGAGTGAGAAACATCGTATTTAGGATCTCAAGATTTTCTTTTCCATGTTTCTGTTCTTTCTATTATTTCTCAGGTTCATGTTTCTTATGATCCCTTTGCTTTGAGTTTGGGGAGGAGTTTAATTGAAAAAGTAATTTCTACGAATTTGTTAACTTTGTTTTTAATTACATTCTTTGTTATCTGTGGTTGGTCATTAACTTTACTTGCTTTGTTCTTTGTTTTTCTTCTTTTCTCTCGTACCTTTTCTGATCCGTTGTTCAACTTGTAGCCCACGAGCTCTTCTTTTCTTCGTTAACGTGGTGTATTTTTACCTACCAGATATTAAAGGCAATGTCACTAGTTATCTCAAACTACGTTCATGCTTATTAATAATCACCATATATTACAGGATTCAAAGCTTCAAATAGTTAAATCTGACATACCCCATCTCCAACACTTTATAATCCTAGGCAACATTTTGTCCCTAACGGGTGCAACAGCTTTCTTTCTAATTCATCCATCCTCATCACAGCTTTCATGCGCCTCCACACTCCCCCACCCAGCCACCAGCACAGCCAAGTCCGCCTCCCCAGACGGACTGTCGACATGCTCCACCGTACCCGGCCGTTCAACCCATCCCAGTGAAAACCAATAGGGCGGTTGTGGAGGATTTACGGCTGCTGCTGGCGCTCGACAGGGAGGTATTTTTTGTCGCTGTACCTCTTGCTGCTGTTTAGCGACGCGTTCTTTTTTCTTGTTGTCATTGCCTGTTGCCGTCTGCAGTTGCTGTGGGCCCCATATGTAGCATATTCGAGCGCATGTTTGCTAACGAGTGGTTTATGGCTTCTTTTTTATCCAAAGGGAGGGCGCTGGGGAAGGGGAGGATGGCGAGTTCGACCGTTGGTGTTGTTGGGAGCTGGGAGATTGGGAGGGATGGAGTGAGGGTTGTGTGCAGTGGTATTGGGGTGGAGGAAGTGGAGATGATAGGGGTTATTTTGGCTGAAGGGGACGGAGGAGATAGTGTCGCGCCATTCTGTTTGGGTGTTTGGCTAGCCGGTTGATTCAATCGGTTGATTCCAGGAATATTTGAAGATCTTATCCAGATATATTACTTCCTATATGAATGCCTGTGCGACGACTTAATGGATAGAAGAATTTCGGGGCCAGCGTCAATTAAATATGCGGGCAGGGGAATGAGGGAAACCAGCGCAAATAAATGTACGAAGACTAATGAACAATCCAAACGATATCGTTCTGATCCTCGACAGTCCGTCCCCAGATCGAATGCTGATAGCCACTCTGCAGCCTTAAGGTCTTCAGTAAAGATTCGCCCCATCACAATTCTCCGGATCTTCAGGCTTCACCCCTTCTTTGAAAGTTAGATAGACGATCTCTGTCACGCTTTGAGCCTGATGCATTGGTCCCTTTCTCTCTTGATTCTATTTTAGTCTGAAATGGTAAGGATTCAGAATAAAATAAAGCAATTGGACGGGATATATATCTACATAGATTTCAATATAGATTTACGAGTAAATGAACATTTCTGCGGAGAGCGGGTGTTTAATGATATATGATTCTATTCGATCATCAGTAACTAGTTATCGGAGACACGGGGAGAATGATGTCACTTCGGCGAATAGGCCAACCTGACTGGGTCGGGTGATAGATTAACTGACTCCAAGGGACCCTTGGTTCAACTGGTGGGGTCAAAAGTATTAGCGGAAGATCTGACAGCCTGGAATTGATTGAAGGACTGAATTCCAGAGCAAGAAATATACCCACTAGCCTCTAGATAGCAATGCTTAACAACAGCCTCCATGGAGATAGTTGTTGAAGCATATTCAAGCGGATGGTGCCCCACACAAGACAAGCCGTATAGCTAGCTTTGCCAATTAGTAGTTCGGTTAAAACGCCATGTAACCCACACAGTCGAAATTGACTGACATTTTTCGCAGGTCGGCAGAGCTACCCTCAAGGGTTCTTAGGAATGCATCCATGGCTTGTATGAACTGTACGGAGTAAAGGATAGACATCAGGGTATATATACGTAGTTACATCCATCTACCTCGACTCCCTTCTCCATCACCTAACGGTATAACTAGTTAGCAGCTTGGAACAACCAAAAAGGAGAAGAGGAATGGACTTTCAAAATGTCTCTCATTTCTCTCCCTCTCTCACTTTCATCCTCGGTCTCCTCACAACACCCCTTCTCTCTCGTCTGCTGCAGGCAATAATAAAACAGCTGCTTTCGCTCTGTCTTAGCGGCGAGGGCGGGGGAGGCGCACATGCGATAGCGGAAAAGGAGCACGGTCTGTACAGCTTGGACCATGGGATGCTGAATTTACCTAGCCTTGTACCAGAGGAAATGTGGATGAATATGGGATATTGGAAGGTTGGTTCACCTTGTTTCATTTTTCCATTGAGATGTCTCTTATTACGGAATTTGAGTTGAGGAGGAAAACAGGTTGGGCGGAGGGGTTAGCGGGTATAAGAGGGTGACGAACTTTTACGGTACAGAGATAATTAGTTAAACAACATCGCCAATTCAACATTTGATTGGTCTTCTCTCAGCTGCGTATCCTATCTCATATACATTTATATACATTTCGAATTCCCCCATGCCTGGTGGTTTAATACCTTATCTTGCAATTTGGTTGAGGACGTGCCAAATAGGAACCAAAAAAAAAAAAAAAAACGTGGCGCTCATAGCTTCCACTTACTATATGAAGTTGCTAACAACTTGCATAACACAAAGAACACAACAGAGTTTCCCCGCGCCTGTGAGGCGTTGTTGGATAAAATCCTGCGAACCGCAGGTTTGGACGTCCAAGCCAATACTTCCGACGACATTGACATTGACTACTTGATCATAGCCGAGAAGCCTCAGGAACGGCAAGGGGGCCGGAAAGATGGGAAAGATGGGGATGGGGCACCAACAAGAAAGAGAAGAAGAGTAATTTTGGATGTTGGATTTGGCTGTGGTGAACAGACATTATATTTGATGAAAAAAAGAGAGGCTGGTGTAAGTGATCGTGATGATGATGATGTTGCAAAAGGACTTTCGAGCACAACCCAAGGCAGATTAGAGGATCCCGATTGTCAAGCGAGTTCACCACTGTTCCATCACTACATCGGCATGACGATCGAGAAGATGCAGTACGAATTTGCTAAGTCTAGAGTTGCTGAAGCAGGTAGGAAATGCAACGCTGCAACAGAAGAGAATGAACTTGTTGAAAACGGTGTAAATAGGGGTAAGGGATTGTCAGGTGGAACGGTGGAGCTTTTCTGCGGACATGCGGCTAAACCATCTGATTGGCCGGAAGATATACAGCGGTCAATTTCCAATGCTTTTCGCCATACCAAACATCGTGAGGGCATGGAGAAGAAAGAAATATTTAGGAAAGAAACGGATGAGGAGCGCTACGTCCTTGGTCTGGACACGTTATATCACTTTAGCCCCTCACGAAACGAGCTCTTCAAGTACTCGCATTCCACTCTTCGCGCATCCTTGCTAGCTTTTGACCTCTTCCTACCCCCGAAACCGCAATCTTCCTCATTCCTTATGACGGCAAAAAGAATGATAGATTCATTGGCCCTACGTTGTCTCACACCTGCCCTTTCCGCCCCGTTTTCGAACTTTGTCACTCCAGCCGAATATAAAACACTACTGGCAAAAGCTGGCTATGCACCTGAAGATATCAGATTTGAAGATATCACGGATGACGTATTTCCAGGTCTCGCGGCATTCTTTGAGCAAAGAACACGAGAGTTGAGGGCCTTGGGCCTGCAAGGATTTACAAAGTGGAGGATTTCTGGGTGGTTGTTTCGTTGGCTAGCAGGCGGAGACGTGCTCAGGGCAGGGATTATCGTTGCTAAATGGCAGCGTAGCCCTGAGGATTGTGCGAATAGGAAACATAGTTTTGATCTTCAGGTCCAGCATCCGGTCGAGCAAAGTTGCTAAGGCCGGAGGAACCTGGCAGGTATGTTGGTGGGTAAGGGAGGTTAAGGTCACCGGTATTGATGTCCGGAGGGAAAAGCTTATCCCACTCATTCTGTATGGAAACACAAGTGTTAACGTTTCAACGTCTTATAGAGTTTTTTGGAGAATTTGGTAATATCCTATAGGAGCATAAACCGGGAATGCTGGGGGAGGGTAATTAAAAAAGAAAATGACGAATTGAAGTACGAGTGATGTTGCCTTTTTGCAGACCAAACTTACCCAGTCAATGTCCAGCAGGGGCAGATCCTCCGCAGAGTCACCCTTGGGGAAGTCCTCAACGTCAGGAAAGGTTAGTCCACAATTGGGAGGAGGGGGAGGAGGGGCTGCTCCAGCAGTTCCAGACCCAACACCAGGATAGAACCACAATCCTGTCGATCCGGAATCCTCAGAGTTATTAGTTTCTGAATCAAGGCTTTGGCCCCTGGCAACGCGGTCCGCAAGATCAGTCATGGATTTGGGCATCTGCAGATTCTGTAACGGACCATAGCTGAAGAATTGGAGGGGTTGGGCGTGTTTCTGTTGGGGAATTGGTGGAATTTGATGTGAATGAGTTAGTAGCGGTGGGTTGGATTGCAGCGGTTGCTGCCGCCAATGTGATATCGCTGCGTGTTGATTTTGTACGTTTTCCTGCTGATATGATTCAGCCGTTTGTGAATAAACCACAGTCGAAGGTGGTTTTGACTGAGACGATGGTCTGGATGTCTGGCAGGCTCCAGGTGGTGTTTGAGCAGCGTCAAAGACTAAAGTTACAGGAGCAGCGTACCCCTCCTGCGCGGCTGGATAACCAAAAGCAACCGTATTGTTCAGTATTTTCCTCTTGCGGCCTGATGTTGATGCGTCAAGGTCTTCCGCTATTTGAGACCCTTGCATGTTGGCGGGAATTTTCAGCTTCCTCCTCGCTCGATAGCATATCATTCTATCTTTAAGCTGGCCCAAGATCATGCGACCTTTTTGATGCCGATCCTCCAAAAGCTCCCTCCTGTTGCTCTCGCTGTATCTCTTGCCACCAAACTCAAAGGGAGAAGGCGAAATTTCAAAAACATAATATAGACATCGCCAGATGCGGTCAGCCTCCTTGCGTAACGGATAATTAAAAATCTCGATAAGGAGGAGGAAGGCTGTGTGCCACTGGCTAAATGCTGTCGAATACCAGTACCATGGCCTGAGCTCCGGTTCTGTTTCGAGCGCAATTGCATCTTCCGTCATTTGCACACCAGTTGTTAGGATAATTTGCATGAGCCTGTCAGGAATTCTCACAGTAGTGTTGTGATGATACCGGTGCAATAGCGCTATATAGGCACGGTTAATATACAAGGAAAGGAAAAGTTGTGCAGCCCGCTGTATCGGTTTAGGATTTGGAACATCAATCAGAGGGCTATAATTTTTAAGGGTAGCCCTTCGGAAAGCTTCAATTTTTCCTAGTACGTGCGTTAAACTGATCAGATTTTGCTCCACTCTGAGCCTATCAATATTAACAAGCCGTTGCAATTCATGGCATTCGAAACGAAGTCGCGTAAAGGTCATGTCCGTCCAATAAGGCTTATCATTGAGAGATGTAGGAGCGCCCGCACACAGGTCATTATCGTTTACATTGAGAGGAAACTTGGTAGAGAAGTCCTCGCGGCGAATCGAGAGGCGAGGGCCTTGTGCTTCAACCGTCCGGATGTCTAGAAAACACAACTGATACCAGATCATCCGCCGGACGTGTGTCTCAATGGGGTCAAGCGAAAGTTCTTCAGGGTCACGGTGGAATCCCATACACTCAGCCAAACGAATGATGGTTCCAACAAGAACGGAATGGGCACGGGATACTTCTCCTCGACACATTGGAATCTGTATCTCAAACATCAGCACCCACTCAAACAGAATGTGAGGCAGAATATAGAGGGGAAATGATAGAGGAAGGACAGCATACCATGTACATGACTGAAGCCTGGATAGTTTGGGTTTTGGTAGTTCTCAAAAAGTTTGCTTTTCCCAAAGCCGTTTCTGTTGCTAACTGGAAGTTCTCTGTGAGCTTATTTTGTGCAACCCCGAACGTACTTAATATCGAGTCTTCTGTCATACTTATTGCAGCAGAAAACATTGCGGCAAATATAACTGCCTGCACAGAGTAGGGGGGCTCAACCCCCCGAGAAACCTGAAACCAGAAATCATTATACTGCTTTTCAACAGTAGGTCGATGAGAAACTTTGGCTATGGGATCTACTGCTTCCCAGTATTGTTGTAGTAACCTGTCGGCAGCAGGCCGTGATGGAAGAAAATCGACAAGAGTGTACTTCTGTGAACCACACCGGAAAATGAAATCCGAACAAGGAGCGATGTAAGAGGGTCCTGGGGCAAAATAGGACTCCGTGTCCTTAGGCGTTAGCTTCCAGATGCGTGAGGGCTTGGAGTTGGATCTATCTGCAGGCTTGTCTGACATTGATAACTCGTTGAGAGTCACGGCAAGCTAAACAACAGGGACGTCAGCCCAAGGGTTAATACTCCTTCAGTGATTCCCGAACAGAAACAACGATTCCACCGCAGAGATACATTGATTTAAGATATATATATATAAATAAAAATGAATGAATGAATGAATGAATAAAAATAAAATACAAGAGACTATGAACAGACCTCTTCTGCGACCTTGGGACGATACAAGCCGCCAATACGGTCCGTTAGTCTTAGCTTCCCCAGCTTGAATCCAAGATCAACGTTATCATCGTCTGATCCATCTTCATACCCAGCATCCTGAACCGCGAGCGGAGTTGGCTCTAGGTTCACTTCATCTTCTGGCACAGGAGCTTGCGCCTCAGCTGAGTTCTCAAGCATGCCTGCCAATGTATTTGAGCCAGCCTGGCCATTGCCATCAGGTTGACCGCCCTCTTTTAGCGAAGCCTGTATTTGCGCAGCATCCTGTTCCAATGCTCGTTCCAGTGAACCCATCCTATCTTTGAGTTCTGCGAGTTTCTTCCGGGAATTTTCATCCCAGGCCGGGGCCAGGAACAAACAGTCCCGGTTGGATTTGGAACATTTGGTACACGGATGGAGTCTGTCGCATTTCAGCTTCCTCCGTCGGCACTCCAGGCACGAAGTAATCATTCGATTGCGACGACGGATTCGAAGTGTGGATGCCGGTGCGGCAGGGCTCGGTGAAGAAGACTCATTCGCTCCAGAAACTGGCCCGCTTTCTCTACTAGATCTTGTACCACCAGCGTGCCCATAAAAATAGTCATTGTTCCTATCGTTCTCTGGCTGTTTAGCTGACTGCCGTAATGAACCCGCGGCAGACTGGGGAGAGTGAGTGGGATGGCAGGAGGCGGGGTTCGAAGACGACTGATACATTTAAAACAGAATACGGGATTTGGTAGTTAGTTAGTCCAAGTAAAGGCAGCGCAATTTTTGCTTCCAGTGTTAGCTAGTTCCTGTGGGAAAAACTAGTTATCATACGGACTCTGGTTACTAAGGAGCAGAAGAGGCCAATTTTACAGATTCATCTGTTGTCCGAATATTTACGCAGCGTCAGACGGAGCAACTAAATATCAAATTTGGCAGACGTTGAACAGAACTCTCCAGGGGGGTTTCAGCCACTCCGTGCCCGGAATAGCGCCATATGAGCGATTTTCCTGCTTGTGTGGATGGGAGGCTTTTTAATTCGCCGATACGGTTGAATTACTTGTTTGAATTTGTCGGTTTCGGTCAGAGTAGATGTGGGATCTGACTCCTAACTACAAGTAGGATCAAATCCGACCATAGATCCTATAGAAAAATCAAGCCAAATCTATTATTCGCTTTTTCCGGATTACCCTGCTAGCAATTAGTGGAAATTCGCTTCTGTTATATAAGATCTTTGAAGCCGAACCGTCCGACAGCGATGAGCCCGAATAGCCCGTAACAGCCAATGATCCTGGTGAATCCCAATCCTATTATTCCCTAGGAGCTTCACCCGCCGTGAAGCTGACCGAAGCTGCCGAAAATTCGAAGATCTGACCAGTGATTCCGAGCGAAGCTGTCGCTACCCGAAGAACCGGCAGAGACTGGAACCTTAGCCAAATCTAGGATCATTCCTTGCCAATCAAAGGATTGGGACGGCTGGCTAACCCAGGTGATGTTGGTTGCTGGCAACCGCGGGGTGTTGGAATATTCTGACCCAGCCTGGGATAACGTCCCAGAGCTCATTGACCCTGTTTTTACAACGCCGCAAGATTTGTATGAAGGATGAGAAAGATGACCTTGCAGTTTTGACGCCCAAGATTGAGATGTACATAGAGCTCTAATAGAGATCTATGAGTGTGAGAACAGGAAATATGAGAAGGTTGTGTCAATGTGTGGCTTCAGTCAGAAATCCCATCCAAAATCACACAGAGTTGGTTCGGTTCCAGCTAGTGAAAGATATGGAGAGCACTCATCAATTACTCTGTGCTTTATAGTCCAACCTATCCCCCATCAGAAGAAGATCGTTCCGCAGAATGAGAGAAGAGATTTGATACGCTTAAGCGGCCAGACAGGTCAGAAGATCGATTTGCTGAGGTAGATAGGTGGGATTAAGTTGTGGAAGGATGCCCAGCGGATGAGAAAGGGATGGAGTGAGTGTGATCCTTATACGCGCGTTCTACAATGCGACAGCGACCTTCCACTCAATATGGGCAGCAGCTAGGAGATCCACGCCCAAATCAACCCCTCCGAGAGGCAGTTGACGCCTTCAAACGGGAGTGGAAGAACACCAGGCTTCCTAGCTCAGCTAACACGAACGGGGAGGTATTTGCGAAACTTCCAAACCCAACCTTACGCAGAAAATCAGTCGAAGATTCCGCAAAACAGTCCCAAGTTCCAAGTCTTCAAACCAGCCCAGGAAGCATGTATATGTGGAATTCCAGGATACAGTCTGTCATCCCTTCATATTTTCAACATTCATGAAAGATTTCAGATTTATGGATCTGCTTCACCTGATGTATTTATCTTCACCGGGGGCAGTTACATGAAAATCAAAGGATATGGAACGGCCTATCAAGTAGTCCGAGATCCTAGGTCTGGCAAGGAAAACCAAACCGATATCATATTCAACCACGGGAATATGAGGTTAGTGAGTAGAAGGATAGGAATTGCGAGGTTGGAATGAAGGCTTCGTCAATGTGTATTGGAATTTGAACACATCCGCGCTGCTAGGGCAACTAATTCCCTAGGGGATTCAGTGAACTAACTTAACTTCCAGTACCTCCAAGAATTCAAAGGTGACCGCAGATCTTTGGCATTGAAGATTAGGCCACCCAGGCCACGGAATAGCTGAACAGCTGCCCGAATCTTGCTCGGGAATTGAGATTTTACCTCCTTTCAAATCTAAGGAGGAAAGGCGGGAATGGAAGACCTGCAGAAGGCAAAGCAAATCACCTCCAGATGCTCAATGCTGCTGGCTAAATGAATCTGTTGATCAGACTGCCTGTATGAATGAGGTGAGAGTGTATTAAATTGAAGTATCCGTGTAAGAGCCAGCATTACCCATTAGTCACAGGCAGTCTCCAGGGGTCTGATTAGATCAATGCGGATTCGGTCAGAGTAGTATGTCGTAGTGGGAGGATTTGACCCCTAGCTATAAGTAGGATCATTATCCAACCGTAGATAAAAGAAAAATCAAGCCAATTACTGTTCGTTTTTTGGACTCCGTAGTAAACTGGCCATTAGTGGTTATTCACTTCCGCTATAGATAGGATCTTTGGACCCGGGCCGTCTGACAACTTTTATCCTTGCGGGAAATATGAACGCTCAAGAATGATCTCAATCCTCCAGGCAGATAGATTCCTGGAGCTGAGGGTAGTTGGTTACATTGCCAAATTCTCCATCTGTCCGCCAGCCGTAACTGTCTGTCAGCAAAGTCTTCCCTGGGCGAGTTTATAAGTTCATGAGCTTTATATATTGGTAGGGTGACATGCTATCCCTGTCTTCTGAAAACCCGTGTTTGGCATCAAAGATAGAGACACCCAGTAAATATCTAATAAAGGCGCCGATAACAAACACACCATCCCGTCTCCGTCCTGAATCTTGGCTGCTCATTTCACGGTTTGCCCGTATTTGGCCTCGCTCGGTGGTTTTTGCGAATGGATTGTTCTTCGACCTGTTTTTCACTTTTTTGTTTGCAAGTTGGCAGCTAACTTAACTAGTTACTTATGCCTGGGTGAAGATGGCATTCCATGGTAAACCGAAAGGGGTTTTTTTTTTTTTTTTTTGCACCAGAATCAATCATTCAGTCGTCATTCTCCAGCAACAGTTCGTCTCGTTGGGTGCATGTGGAACAGTCGGAATCGACAAACTAAATAATTACTATTGAGGGGTGATGGCTGACGAAACTGAGTATTTCCCAGAGTCCCTGGTTCTTCGGCCACATAGGATGACAGCGCAGTCTGGGAATCATCTTTGCCAGCGGAGAAGCACCCTGGGCACCTCGCAAATTATCCAACCGAGTTGATGAGGAAACTCCGTAGTTGCAGCTGAACTCAAAAGACAACGGTTTGTTGGTTAATTGATCATGGAAGAGGATATCGTTACTTGCACCCCTCCGAAAACACCCCGATACTCGCCCATTGTCTATACAGTATCAGATATGGGCCTTAACATTGGCTAGGTGCTCCCTTGTCGTTACCAAATAAATCCCTTTCTTCCTCTTCAGGATCTGGACTGCGAAGCGATCTATTTGGTAGTATGGCTGTCACCAGTCGCTTATACGTTCCGTTTGGTTTTTCCTGTATATATGTTGCTTCGAGCTCTGGATGGTAATGACGAGCAGTATGCCTCCCTTCGTCGCCATATATACGGATGCTGGTTGGGGACACCGCGGGGAGAGTGTGGTATACGGCAAATACCGGGTCTCTTCTGCTCTATCATTGAACAATGCTTAAGAGTTGTTCAGCAGGTATCTCATCTGGAAAAAGGAAGCATCCTCACAACCACTAAATGCGCAATCGACTCTGGCTCGAAAAGTGTATCTGTGTTTCTTGAATTCGCCAGAGTGAGATATGATATGAGCATAGAAGATTAGCTTTGGGCGCGGTTTTCAAAGTGCTCGCACATCAGAACTCTTCCAAAGTTGTTAGAAATCTGCTCTTTCATGTTGACTTTGCATTCGGTTTTCAGGTTTCTACAGGTGAAGTGAATCCACAAACTGAGAACTTTTAAGCGTGTTTTAACTCTTTTGCCGGTGCAGTTCGTCAAGTCACATATTTTGTTTTGCATTCTGTCATCTTATATTTCCCGTTCGATATTTCTTCCAAGTGCTCTGAGGGTTCGTTCGACGAATACGCAGAAGGAGGAAAACAAGGCATGACGGAAAGTTGTTAATATGCATTTTGCGTTGTGATGTGAAAATAAATAAATAAATAAAAATAAAACCCGATGAGGTAGACTATCACCCCTTTCAGCGGCGTTTAATGGGAATATCTGATGAAGATGTAGCATCGCCCAAAGTCATCATTCAACGTATCTATCTAACTTAACTGCTCATGATGGTTCCAAGGTGATAGCAGGATTCCTGCCCAGCAACAGAGCTCGTCTCCCCGTTCCCAATACCGTCGTCGCCCTGGAACTGCGGTGATTGATGGGAATTAGGTTTTCGATTCATAAACAACCTCAATCTGGATAAGACATCGCCCTGGCAACTGTTTAAACAACGCAAATTATGTGGATTTCAGCGCCACTCTACGCAATACACAGGGTCTCCACCATGCTGACTGCCCCGCTCGGCATCTGTTAGAATGCAGAACTATTCAACCGCCATGTTCAGCTTTGCGGACGTACATACCTATGTCCTGAAGGTAGAACATCAACACATATTCGTTCCCACTAAGCCAGAACCTAGACGACAAGTCGACGATGACTAAAACAATAGATCAGGGCCTTTCCGACCCCCGAGGAATGCAGAACCACCCATAACTCTTTCAGCAAATGCATCCCTCGGGAGCGGATAAGTGAATCAACCCCGAGGCAATCACTGCAGTTGTGGGGCGAACAGTCCATACGTTCAGAGCATTCGCGAATGAAGCAATCTGGGTACGGTATCCCCGATTGTCTCATGCGTTTAGGCTCCTCAGATTCTGTAGCAGAAGGTGGAAGAGGCGGCGGCGGAGAAACATTCCAGACTTGTGCTTCATTAAACTTGCAGCCCGTTCGCGCCAGCTCAAAGTTTTTTCTCCAAATGATGCCGCTCCTCGCTAGGATACCAGCTCGCAACAGTCATTAGATGAGAGTAGCCCGAGTCTGGTAAAGTCGATAACACGGGCCATTACCTCAAAAGATCGGAGTACCCCGTCGTCGCCCATCAACGATCTACACCGCGAACCTTTAGGGGTAGAGCGTTATTCGCAGTTACCGGGTTGGTTGACTAGCACGTTACGTTCGCTAGTTAATCATTGAAGGGAACAGGAAAAGCGAATGGACAACCCGTCATGTTTCCTTGAGACTCACTGACATCTCCACCTCTGCCTGAGGAGTTTCCCCGGAGACAAAGGGGAAGATGAGAAGAAGCAAGGAGATAAGTTGCATGGTTGATTAGTGATTGGAATTACGGGATGGAGTTATTAGATTGACAGCAGTATCAGCGTTATATAGTTAATCTCAACAGGTGGTCTTGACTGAAGTTTCAGGCATCTATTCTTACACAGGTTTGTTTTTTGCTCTCTTCCTGAGTTCAAGATCTGCGAACGTTCGCAATTTTATATCTATTTCGGGACTGGAAGCATCACGTCTTTCCACGCTCCTCGAACTCTCAATTCTGGTTCATAAAGCGCCCTCTATTGGGCGTGTGGAAAGCAGATGTGGTTACGATGTTCCAAATATTCGTCTAGAGAAGTCTCCATGCTTATTGGAGATACTGTGACATCAGTATCCCCTTTCAAAGGTAAGTTGCGCATAGTAACATCCGCGGATACCGTAAAATCCGATTGCCCATAATTAATTTCTAGCTCTATTTCCACCTAGTTATATCCATGGATCCCGTGAATAATGGAAAAAAAAAGAAGAAAAGGCAAAAAAAGAAAGCCACCGAGAGGGAAGAGCCAGAACGTTGGTATGTTCTGCATGAATCATCGTTTGGGGTTATATCGGTTCTTGGGTTACTTACAGGAGTGGAATGAAGAATCAAAACGAATGAAACGAAGCTGGCTGCCAAAATAACACCTTTCGAAAGAAATGTAGAAAAATACACAACCTTTACATTCACAAAACACCGTTGCTAGCATAGCTACATCTTCAAACAAGCAACATGTGCAACTAGGTATAAAAACATCGCCCAAATACAAAAACGTAATTATTATTATATCTCATCCATCCCTCTCACCCTCCTACTCCTCTCCATCAACGCCGCACGTACATGCCCTATAACCTGCAGTTTCCGTCTACTCTTAGCCCGCCACCGCTGCGCATCCTCCAACAGAAGCACCAACTCCGTAGGCCCACTGACACTCTGTAGCAAACTCTTGCTATTCCCAGAATTACCCATTAAGCTTGATTGGAAGCGCACATGGGACCTGCTGGCAGAGTCGGGCGTGTGATACGCACTTCTCAAACCAGCAGCGGTACCATCCACGGAACCACGCGACCCGGGTGGGACAGGCACAGCGCGCGAAATCCCCCCTCGCTGTTTCGGCGGTGGAGTGAGGAAAGGCGAAGCTTCTCGACTGCGAGAATGCACGGAACCTGCGCTCGAGACATCGATTCCGAGTCTGCGCAGCTGCGCTTCGAGGACGTCGATATCGCCACTCTTCTTCTCGGCCATGTTGGTCATTGTGGCGATGGTTGATGTTACGGCTTCGACAGTGGGGCGGGCCATGGGTCTTCGGCTCGCTGAACCGTTGATGCCGGCGCCAGATTCCAAGTCTGGTTTGGAGGAGTCGGCGATCTTGGCGCGGAGGAGGGAAATCTCTTTCTCCAGGTTGGCCATTTTGGATTGCACTGTTGTAGATGCTTTTCGTAAGTCGTGCTGCATAGTTGCCTGTTCAGCAGATAAGGGGGCTGTGGAGATGGCTACGACATCGACATACGAGTCGATGCTTCTTCGTAAGCTGGCGCATTGGCCGCGTAGAGTGACGAGACCTTTGCTGAAGAGTCGTTGACACTTTTCGAGAGTTTCCTCAACTGTTTGCAGCTGTTGTTGCTGGAGAGAGGCATCAAGTGCTTCTAACCCTTCACGCAGCTTATCGACCTCGGATAAAAGAAGGTTTTCCTCCAAGATGTCACTTGGGTGCTCGCTTAGGAGGATATCCAGCCAGCGTTGGTAGCTGAGTTCTTTGGACGTTTGCTGAT